AATGAGCTTCTTCACATTAATCCTCTATCCTTGTATCCCCAGCTCCTGCCAGTTGAAAAGTTGCACATTTGATAAATGTTTAGTGAATGAGCAAACACATGAATAAATGAATGCGTGTATGAATTTGCATTTCGTTTTTCTTATATTTGACCTGAAACAAAGATCTATCTATTGTGTTGCGTGGTCATTTTCTTAAGAGTCATCAAGAAACAGAAACTAAAGGTACAAATGGGAACTCAACACAGCATAGTTTTCATTCCCTGCCTTTGACTATCTGATTGGACTATTCAAGCTCAACTTGTTAAAACTCAGTAAGTGCCTATCCCACATGATTTGACTCATACATCCTCTTTTGTCCGCAGGCAGTTGTCTTAAGAAAAGAGGAAGGAGCTCTCAAATGCTGTGTCAATTCAGGGACTCAGTAGAACAATGGAATACCGTTCTGAGGTAGAAAATTTGGATGAAGATGGTTATACTCGTTTAGACTTCAGCTCTCAAGGCGTCACTGGGAGACATGCGGTCTTAGAGAAAGGTATTTTTTCTTTCTGCCTTCAACATTCTTGTTGTCATCAACTAAAACACTTACGTGGGGAAAATTTGAAAGATTTGTGATTTGTAGGAGGAAAACCTTTTAAAAGGTTCTCAGACATCACTGAGGATATTTGAAAGTGTACTAAGCCTTTCCTCATGGCAAATATTAGGTGACTAATTATTAGTATTTAAAATAATTATTATGATGACAGAAAATACCTACAATTTCTCCGTTCTGTAGAAATAGACACTTCGGCACTAAGGAACTGTACATAAGTGTGATAAATGCAAAGATGAAGAAATTTTAGTGGGAGTGTCTTGTTGCTTGATTGGCAGAAAGGCGTAAATTGTAGAATGGAGGTCATGGAAACTTCGAGAAGTATATGTCAACAACATCAGAATATTGAAGATAGGAAAGAGAAGAATAAAAAGATGGAAGATAGACAAGAAAAAAATCCAAATATGTGATTTAGTGGTAAAGGCAAGTTGGAAGTCATAGGGTTTGGAATCATGAATCTGATGTGGTTTTTTGTGACAAGAAATTGATGTGGATTTTTTTTTATCAAAAGTGGGGGGTCTTTGTATACTAGCGTTAGAAAATGCGTGTTAGATGAAAATGTGTGTTAGATGAAAATGTGTGTTAGGTGAAATGTGTGTTGGATGAAAAGATCCTATGAACAGGATATGAGTGTTAAACGTAATATAAAAAGAGTGAAAATGGTGAAAGACATTGAAAAATCTCTCTCTTCACAGAATGAACCATTTAGTGTCCTCTATGGTTCTCCTATTATACAATTCTCTGAAACACTTAGACGGCTTATTCTCAGTCAAAGGCAGAGCTATAGTCTTTGTTGCAGTGCATTAACATAAAATAAGTTTCCTGTTATCAAGAGAAGATTTTTGTCACAAGTTTTGACATGAGCATTTGCACTCCTCTGCTTTCTGGTCATTCACCTTGCTCATTTGCCCTTTACCACTTATGCAATTCTTTTCTTGCTCAACTGGTTTAAGAGGAGTGGCAAACTGGATGATGTAAGAGGTAGGGAGTCAGGTACAAGTTTCTACGTATTTGTTGACAAACAGTGAGTTATGTATAATGACCTAGTAGTCTCTGGACGAGATGCTTTTATGTGCTAGCCCGTTTAGTTCCCACAATGATCCTCTGAGGTATTATTACCCAACTTTTCACAAAGAGAAATGAATAAGCAGAGGGAGTAATTCACCGAAGGTTATTCAATGAATAACTGAAAAGAGAAGGTTGCCCTAAGGGACCCATGCTATTTCCCCACATTAGGCTGTTTTTTATAAAAATGAGTGGGATTTCAGGGGCGTCTGGTGGGGGCTCAGTCAGTTAAGCGTCCAACTTTGGCTCAGGTGAAGATCTCGCCATTGGTGGGTTCGAGCCCCGCGTCCAGCTCTGTGCTGACAGCTCAGAGCCTGGAGCCTGCTTCGGATTCTGTGTCTCCTCCTCTCTCTGACCCTCCCATGCTCATGCTCTGTCTCTCTCTCTCTGTCTCTCTCTCTCAAAAATAAATAAACATTAAAAAAAATTAAAAGAAAATGAGTGGGATTTCAAAAATCCTGATAGTGTCAGGACCTATAGACGTCAATGTGAAACTAAAATTAGGAGTGTACAGATGTCAGGGCATGTGCTGAAATTACAGTTCTGGCATCTGAAGAGGTATGATAAAGGAGAGAGAAAACTCAGATAATCCTAGATGACTAGATTATTTGCGTATAATGGTTCACATCAGAATGTGCCAGATTTTGATGAACTGTAGAACTGAAGTGCTGTGTGATTCACCCTACTTCTTCATTTAATTTCTGTTCCTTCTGGCTTCCTAGGAACTTGTGCTACGTCTCCTTATTGGCGTCCCATTGCCGTGACCTTGGGAATCCTATGCTTGGTAATACTGGTGACAGCTGTGGTCCTGGGTACCACGGGTAAGTATTTGGGGGGGGGGTAGAAATTAACAACAACGACGACAACAACAACAGACATTTGATAAGCATGTATACTGTGCCAGACACACTTTTAAGAGCTTGACATGCATAATCTAACGTAATCTGTATATTACCACGTGCTGTCTCTCTCTCAAAAATAAATAAACATTAAAAAATTTTTAAAAAGAGACTACAACTATTTTTATGAATCTTATGATTTAAGGAAATTGTTTTGTACCCGATCTTTAATCTAAGTTCCCTTGAATAATATCAGGAATTACCTGAGGCACTTACTAAACAGACATTCTGTGATGGGTGAATGAGTTCTTTTAGATTTTTATATCTCACAAATTCTATTGTCAATAACGTATTATTGTGCCTTTGGGGTTTTTTCAAGGAGCTCTCATTTTTAAATAACAGAAAAAGGATAGATTAATTACTATGTCAAATCTGTCATGCTCCAGTTGACTCTATTTCATTTGCCTCTTGCTTTCTCTTCCATACTCTTTCTTTACTTGTTTGATTTTTTTCTCGTTTTTACTACGCCTTCATGGAAGTTATTTTTTTTCTTTCCATCTATTTAATCTATCTATCATCTATTCTATTATCTATCTATCTATCATCTATTTATTTATCTATCATCTATCATCACTATCTATTATCTATTATCTATCTATCTTGACCTCTCAATCAGCAATGTGTTCTCTATTTATCATGAATCAAGAATATATCCCTTTGTGTTCCAACAAAAATATGGGTTTGGGAATCATAATTTCAAATATAGTAGAATGACTTTTTTTTTTTCTGTCACTATAATTGTTGTTGGTATATGAAGCTATTTGGAGACCCAATTCAGAGAGCAACCCATTGAAGAATGACAACTTTCCATCAAGAAATAGAGAGAACTACAGTCAACCCACACAATCATCTTTAGAAGACAGTGTGGCTCCTACCAAGGCTCTCACAACCACAGGCAAGGGCAGAGTTAAAAGATGAGTGGAATCCTTAATCCAGAAAGGTCAATTATTGGTGCTAAGACCTGGAGTAGGGTGGGTATAGAGAGCACTTTTACATGCAGGGATTGTGCATTCAGGGAAAGCACATATCAGTATTATCTCACAATAGTATGCCCCTATCATATATATAATAAAGTGATATAAATATCCCATGCTTTTGGCCAGACATTGCTAAGTTGGATTTTTTTTGAAATCAGTAACTAATTGATCACTTTCTATGTATTTCGATCTATAGATGATGGTATAACTTGATGCAAAGGAAAGAAATGTGTCCTCTCCTCTTTCAGAATTGACATTTAAAAAAATTAAAAAAAATTTTTTTTTAATGTTTATTTATTTTTGAGACAGAGAGAGACAGAGCATGAACGGGGGAGGGTCAGAGAGAGAGGGAGACACAGAATCTGAAACAGGCTCCAGGCTCTGAGCTGTCAGCACAGAGCCTGACGCGGGGCTCGAACTCACGGACCGCGAGATCATGACCTGAGCCAAAGCCGGACGCTTAACCGACTGAGCCACCCCGGCGCCCCCAGAATTGACATTTTAAAGGAATGTCATTAGAATAGGAAATAGGATGTCAGGAAGAAAGGCAGAGAAAAAGGAAAGAAGGGAAAATGTGCTAAGAATGAAGAGGCTAAATTGAGCACATGCCAAAAAGATAGACCTAATAGATATGTTCTTGAAAACTCCGGTTATATTTGTTTTTCTTTAATCATACAATTTCATTAATTTTATTACAGTTTGATATGCACTTTACCCTTATTTCTAATTGCATCATAATTGACTGTGACAATATTTTGACTTCAATTTTCCATTTCTGGACCCATATCTTCTCACTATTTGCATCACGTAGCTAATGATACAAAACAGAGATATTCTATAATATGAATCATTGCTTTTATACTTTTCTGCTTTGGAAAGCTGTATTGTTAATTGGATCTCACACCTCTAAAAGAAGTTAACGTGAAATTACTGTATATCTCAATGATTGATTTAAGTTGATTTGTTTTAAGAATTATCATGAAGAAAGGGGGGTCTGGACTGAATTTGAAAGAATAGAATACAAATCAAAAGGGAAAGGAGGACTGACTGTTTAAAACACTGTTTATAATTATTCAATTTATATTTAAAGTTTAAATGAATGGAGGATTTTATTATGGTCTCTTATATAAAAATTGTATCCCTATTGAGGTGATTGGGTGGCTCAGTTAAGCATCCAACTCTTGATCTCAACTCAGGTCATGATCTCACGGTTTATAAGATAGAACCTCTCATCAGGCCCTGTGCTGACAGTGCGGAGCCTGCTTGGGATTCTCTCTCTCTCGCTCTCTCTCTCTGCCTCTCTGTCTCTGTCTTTCAAAATAAATAAACAAACTTGCAAAACTCATAGCCCTATAGTTTGAACTGAAAATGAAATATATCACTGGCAATTCATTGATTATTAAGTGTCCACGGGATGAATGGTCACTTGCACTGAAAGAGTAAATTGGTATGATATGAATGTCATTGTATTTACTTTTTATTTCCAGGAGTTTTTTCCAACTCTTGTCCTCCTAACTGGATCATACATGAGAACAACTGTTATCTATTTAGGACATCATTAGCTTCCTGGAATAGCAGTAAAAAACAATGCTCTCAACTGCACTCTAATCTCCTGAAGATAGACAGTGAAAAAGAACTGGTAAGTGTAGACTTCAGTTGTAATTATCTGTGGTCTCTACTGAGCAGAAAAATAAAGGTAGATTCCAGATAATGATAATTTTCCCTAAAAGAAAGTCACTTTTCATATCCTCCATAATTATAATAATAGCATGTATTAAATGGGTAAAATATATAGTATGTTTATTTATTATTTCATACATATATATAGAGAGAGAGAGAGAGAGAGAACAAGCATGGGACAGGGACAGAGGGAGAGAGAAAATCTTTAAAAAAAGTTTTTTTAATGTTTATTTATTTTTGAGAGAGAGTCAGAGCATGAGCAGGGGAGGGGAAGAGAGAGAGGGAGACACAGAATCCGAAGCAGACTCAAGGCTCTAAGCTGCCAGCACAAAGCCCGTTGCGGGGTTCAAACCCACGAACCGTGTGATCATGACCCGAGCTGAAGTCGGACGCTCAAACAACTGAGCCACCCAGGTGCCCCGAGAGAGAAAATCTTAAACAGACTCCATGCTCAGCCCAACACGGGCTCGATCCCACAACCCTGGGATCATGACCGGAGACAAAATCAAGAGTCAGACAGACAACCAACTGAGCCACCCAAGCGCTCCTATGTGCTTTTTAAAATTAATTAATTCTAAAAGTAAATACGTTTCACTTTAAAACAAATCTGTTCAAACACACTCCAAGTTTGCCTGACTGTAATAATCAGACCACTCCTCATTTTTGTGGGTTTGGGTTTCAATTCTTCAAGTTGGTGGAGTAAAATAGAAAATTCCCTCCCTTGTCAGCATTATTATCAAGGAAAAATAGCAGTAATAATAATACACATTTATAAATCATTTACTCCTTGAAATATCCTGGGAAAGGCAAAGAGGTTTAAAAAGTAACCTTGCAAGTTCAATGCTTACATAGTTTGTAAGAAGAAAGTAACAACTCAACAGCTGCTAAAAGCTAAGTATCTCGTATTGGCAATAGATGACATAGGAATTCAGAGACATGCCAGTGTAGGTAAAGTTTTACAGAAAAAGTGGGACTTAAAATGCATCATGAATGAAGGGTAGGACTCAGTTGGGCTATGAGTAGGAATTAATAGTCAGGAAACACTCCATACATCTAAACAATCTAGAACTTCTACCTTTGCTTTCACTTCCTCTCAATTTTTGTGTCTCTGTCCCACATCACCTAACGGTTGTAGTTCACATGAAAATTAATGGAAGTAGATTATGGCAAGGAAGGAGAAGGACACTGGAAGTTGGTCGGGCTCATAGATGTTTCTCTCATTTGTCAACAATTGAAATGTCGTCATTAAAACTCAAATATCTGGGGCGCCTGGGTGGCTCAGTTGGTTGGATGTCCGACTTCGGCTCAGGTCATGATCTCGCGGTCCATGAGTTCGAGCCCCGCGTCGGGCTCTGTGCTGACAGCTCAGAGCCTGGCGCCTGCTTTGGATTCTGTGTCTCCCTCTCTCTGACCCTCCCCCGTTCATGCTCTCTCTCTGTCTCAAAAATAAACGTTAAAAAAAATTAAAAAAAAAAAAAACCTCAAATTACTTATTCATAAAACACACCATGGAACTAAATTATTTTTATAGGTTTTTTTTTAAATCTAACTCTGCAGAGCATTTCTTGACAAAAATCATATCAGTTCATATAGTCAATCTGAGGAGAAGATAGTGGCTTGTCAGCCATGAAAATTGCAGAAGGGTTCTGTCATCTTTGGATTTTGTTGGGCAAGTTGGAAGGAGGCTGTACGATTTTGACGTTACGGATCTGTTCTTCATTGGAAAATTAAACAATAATGACTCTGAAGGAGTGAAATATGCTTCTGGAAACACCCAATGGCATTCAATGGTTGGCACTTTTCTCTAGGTTGATGCCAGCCTGTGCATGCATTCTTTATCAAAGCGATTCAATCTGCTGTCTCTATTTCAACGTCTGTAAGAGTTTTTCCCCATCTATTTTGTCTATCATCTCTGTCTTTTCATTCTCTCTACCACTCTTGGACATGCGTTTGTGTTTATGTTTTCCTACAGGAATTCATAATGAAGCAAGCATCTTCTCAACCCGATAATTCATTTTGGATAGGGCTTTCTCGCCATCAAACTGAAGGACCATGGCTCTGGGAGGACGGCTCGAGATTCTCTTCTGACTTGTAAGTAACTGGAAAGACAAAGCTTCATGCCCTTTCTCAGAAAGCTAAGAGCATGCCAACCAGTTAAGAATCTGATTTGTGGGCCATTGATAAGAAAGAGAGGCAGAAAGAAAAATGATAGCGAGAGACAACCAGTGAATCAGGAAAAAGAAAAAAAAAAAGAAAAGAAGACAGTAGAGGAGGACTTTACAGTCAAAAAGAGTTGAGTGGTCATCTAGTGTTACTAACACAAATGTGCCTCAGCTTTCTTATGAGGAGGGCATTTGCACATGTCGGCAGCTGTCCAGTTAGGGGGAGCTGTCGCTGTTAGTATAAAACTCTGGCTACGAGCATGGGCTTTGGAGTTGGCTCTCAGCTTGAGCCAACGTTTGGTCCGCTCACTGTGTGAAATTAGGTAAGTTGCTTAACCCACCTGAGCCCCTTTCTCCTCATCTATAAATGAGAATGAAAATAGTACCTACCTGGTGGGCTTTTAAGGTAAAGAAAGGAGATGAAAGTAACATCACTTAGCACAGTGTCCCGTGCCTAGTAAACACGTGTGCCACGTGCTGTTATCCTTAATTGTAAAAGCAACGCATTTTACATTTTACAGAGTTCTTTGACACATAGTTTGCATTTGCTTAGTTATAAGTTCTTCCTTGTTGTGTGTGTATCAGCCAGAATTCTTTAGAAAAAGATCTATGTAGATCACCTGTTGGTTCTGAAGAACCCTGACTGATACACGTGACATTGAGGAATAATTTATCCATGGAGATTTACTATTAGGAATTGGCTCATGTGATTAGGGAGACCGACAAGTCCCACAGTCTGCCATCTGCAAGCGGGAGACCCAGGAGAGCCTGTGGTCATAAATTCCGTTCAGGTATGGAAGGCTGCTAACAAGCGGAGCTGATGGTATAAAACCCAGTACTCGGGTAGAGACGAGCTACCCTGAGATGTCTCAGTTCACACGGTGAGGCAAGAAAAGGCAAACTCTTCTTCTGTAGGCTTCTTTGTTCTATTTCAGCCCTCAGTGGATTGGATGATGCCCACCCGTATTGGGGGTCTGCGATCTGTTTTCATGTATCCACGGATTCAAACGCTAATTTCACCCAGAACCACTTCCACAGATATAATTAGAAATAATGTTAATTTGGGTGTGGCCAGTCAAGTTAATGCAAAAAATTAACTATCACAAAGTGCTGAGGTCTTCTTCATTGTAATTGTCAGTTAGTTTCTTTGTCATATCTGAAGAATATGGAATTATATTTTCCTTTTCAGTTTCTATGATTAGTATGTGTGTGTGTGTGTATGTGTGTGTGTGTGTGTGTGTGTGTGAGTGTGTGTATAAGAGAGAGAGAGAGAGCGAGCCTGTTTGTTTTCCCATTATTTTCAGGTGTCTTTTCCAATTCAATTTCTCTTTTCAAAGAAAGAAATTTCGGCTTTGTTGATTCCTCTGTGCCTTTAAAAAAATTTCTTTTTAAAAATTAAAAAAAAATTTTTTTTAATGTTTATTTATTTTTGAGACAGACAGAGACAGAGCATGAACAGGGGAGGGTCAGAGAGAGGGAGACACAGAATCTGAAGCAGGCTCCAGGCTCTGAGCTGTCAGCACAGAGCCCGACACGGGGCTCGAACCCACAAACCACGAGATCATGACCTGAGCCGAAGTCGACCGCTTAACCGACTGAGCCACCCAGGCGCCCCTAAAAAAATTTCTTTTATTAATTTCAGTTCTCATCTTTACCACTTCTTTCCATTCAGTTTCTTTGTGTTGAATTTCTCTTCTGTCTCTAATTTCTCATATGAATGCTTGACTTATGACATTCCTCTTTCTTTTTCTCAAATATGTGCATTTAAGGCTATAATTTAATGTATTTTATTGTCATTTAGTTCAAATACTTTCTAATTTCCATGCCGAGTCCATAGGTCCATAGGTCCGTAGACTTAGAAATGCATTTCTTAATTTATAAATACCTGTGTGTTTCTATAATTATCCCTTTGCTTTGGGTTGCAGCTTAATTCCATTATGGTCAGAGAACATACTCTGTGTGATTGCAATTCTCTGGTTTTTATCTTTTATCTTCTTTCCCTACAGAGAGAAGTATATTAAAGTCTCCCATTGTGATTCTACTTACCATTCTGTAACCATTTTAGTTGATGCGCTGAAGCTGTATTATTAGGCACATTTAAATTTAGAATTTTTATACTGTACAGGTGTATGGTCCATCCTATGAATTTTTTCTTTTCTTTCTCTCCTCTTTTTGAATTGTTTAATATTATTATTACTCCATTTTTCTTTGATTTTTTAAAAATGTTTATTTGTTTTTGAGAGAGCGAGAGAGAGAGAGAGAGAGACCATGAGCAGGGGAGGTCAGTGAGAGGAGGGGGCCAGAGGATCCAAAACAGCTCTGTGCTGACACAAGCAAGCCCGATGTAGGGTTCAGACTCATGCATGGTGAGATCATGACCATGGATCCAAAGTCAGGGCCTAAGTCAGAGGCTCAACCACTAAGCCAGCCAGGCATACCCTACCCCATTTTTTCTTATAATAATTTAGAATTTACTCTGTCACTAATTTTTTAGTAGTTGTTCTAAAGATTACAACAAATATCCTTCACTCATCAAAGTCTGATATTAATTGTTTGGTTTATTTTAAATGTTTGTGTGTGTGTGTGTGAGAGAGAGAGAGAGAGAGAGAGAGAGAGAGAGAGAGATTGAGAGTAAGCAGGGGTGAGGGGCAGAGAGAAAGAGAGAATTCCAAGCAGGTTCCATGCCATCAGCACAGACCCTGACACGGGGCTCTATCCCATGACCCTGAGATCATGACCCGAGCCAAAATCAAGAGTCAGAAGCTCAACCGACTTGAGCCACCCAGGTGCCCCAAATCTTAATTGTTTTTTAATGTTATTCCCTGGCTATATAAAAAATATTAGAATATTACTTTACTCTGTGTACTCTCTCCTCAATTTACATGCTATTATTTTTGTGGAGTTTATTTAATGCTCTCACATCTTTTTCCACATTTTAATATCTCAGCAATTGGCACCTGTCTTACAAATGCTGTCCTTTTATAATCACTGTAGGTCTCAGCTGAAGTTAAAGTCTGTCAAGGATTAGCATTTGTTTCTGCCAGTCAGAGAGAGGCACCACAAACGTGAGATTACTCAAACACTCTACTTGGTTTTTCGTTTTGTTTTGTTTTGTTTTTTTAAACTACACTGGTATTACGGATTCAGATAGAACTATGTAAGTGCCAGTTACTTCTGGGGCAACTTCTTGGGGAATATAATTTTTTCTTCCCATCTTCCACCTGGTGGCGAGACTGAGACATGCACTTCTGACAGTCTTTTCTGTGCAGTATTTTAATTTTCATGGACTTCTGCACCGAATGAGTCCTTTGTTTTCCAGTTTCTGCAGGGTTTTCTATTAAATTCCCATCTTGGATGGATTTATTTCACAGTATTAGGTCAATAAATGGCCTATCAACAATTGATGACCCTCTTGGATTCAATAAAAAAATATAGCCCTAACAAACAGTAGATTTATATAGTCATCTCCTCTAGATTTTTCCACATATTTATGGTTTGTAATGCTTTTTATTTTCTTCTGCCTCTCCTACCAACCATTTTTCTTACCCTGAAGAATACTCCCTGATTCCTTTTAGAGTGGAAATTTGAGAGTTTAATTCTCTGTGTTTGTCTAAACCCGTTTCTATTTCAATTTTTCCAAAAAATATTTTCTTTGAGCATAACATTGAAAATTTGTTGTTTGTTTCTCTTGGCCATTCAAAGATATTGCCATGTTTTTCTTTTTTCTTTTTTTTTTTTTTTTTTTTTTTTTTTTTTTTTTTTTTTTTTTTGGTTTGGTGTTTTGAAAGGTCATCTAGTTGAAGGTTAACGTATGTTTAAAAATTTTTTTTTCTCTTTTTTTTTTTTCAACGTTTATTTTTTTCTTTTTGGGACAGAGAGAGACAGAGCATGAACGGGGGAGGGGCAGAGAGAGAGGGAGACACAGAATCGGAAACAGGCTCCAGGCTCTGAGCCATCAGCCCAGAGCCCGACGCGGGGCTCGAACTCACGGACCGTGAGATCGTGACCTGGCTGAAGTCGGACGCTTAGACGCAGGGCTCGAACTCACGGACCGCGAGATCGTGACCTGGCTGAAGTCGGACGCTTAACCGACTGCGCCACCCAGGCGTCCCGGTTAACGTATGTTTAATATCTGATGTCTTCTCAGCTTTGGAAAATTCTCAGCCATACTTGCTTGAAATGTTGCTTCTTCCCTTTCTCTGGGATTCCAGTTATATACATTATAGACCCATTCTCAATATTCTGTATGTCTTCTCTGCTTCTTCCTGGATCTTTCAGCCTTTTTTTTTTTTCTTTAGATATTTACTTCTCATGTATCTTTGAGTTCACTAGTTTTTTTTCCCCCCATCTATGGCTAATCTGGTGTTAAAAACCTCCATTAATTTTTTAATTTTGTGTCGTGAATTTCTCAGTTCTATGATTTCAGTTTGGCTCTTTCTCAAATCTAGTCTGTCACTATTTATAATTCCTGGCTTTCTTCCACGAGGCCTAAATCAAGGCTGTTTCCTGCTTTAGCCTAGTCATTTCTACAAAAGAATTCTCTCAATCCTCCAGCCTCAGGGCCAAGAAGAGATAGATACACAAGATGAAGAGTACCAGTCTGTAGCTGTTATGGTGAGGCTCAGTGAGGCCCTTCAAGCTTGACTGATAAACGCCGCCCTTTCAGGAGAACTCTTCTATTTCAGCAAAGAGAACAGGGCCATACACCGACTTACCATGATAATTATCATAATTGTCTATCATGGTATTGTAATACAACTCTGTCTTCAGAATGAATTAAAATATATAATGCTGTTTTCCCTGCCTTTAAATGGGCTCGATATCTATGATTCTTCATTAGTGCTAGGTATTTCTCAATAATAGCTCCTCTGATTGGTCTGTTCACTAAATACACCCAAAGATAATTTCACTAGCCTGTTGTTTCATTTGATAAATATATTTCTAGGTGCGAGGTTGAAAGATCAACAAAGAACTTTCTATGGAATACTGAGTGATTTTTCTTATTTGTCAGGAGCTTTATTTCATTTTATGTAACAGTGTTTTTCTTAAAAAATTTTTTGAGTCATTTTTATGCGTTAATAATGAAGCCTATCCTGTTACCATTTGAAAACTAATGCAATCTAAATTCAAATTTCCTTTTGCAATAACATGGACACTTCAGAAACTCTTTTCACAAGATCCTTGCCAATTTCGTTCAGCGTTGTATAGACAGTAGACAGTGTTTCTTATGTTCTTTCTAATCACCTCTTTGTATTTTAACAGGTTTCAGATCAGAAGCACAGAAATTCAAGAAAACTCATCTCACGATTGCGTGTGGATTCACCTATCAATAATTTATGACCAACTTTGTAGTTTGCCTTCATACAGTATTTGTGAGAAGAAGTTGTCAATAAAATGACGAGGCTGTTGATGTAAAGAACAGAGAGAAGTATGTAGCAGCCAGAAGGGCTAAAAACAAAACGGGAAAGAAAGATACTGGAGGTCAGAATAAATGCTAAAAATAATCAAGAGAGCTTAGCCAACTTCAGTCTTAGCTGAGAAACGGTATGGAGAGTCTGTGATGCTGTACTTTCAATTCAACTGTTTTGGCAGACCAGCCTTACGTTCTAGTTAACAGAGCCCTACATGTGGAGTAGGGACAGCTGAACTTCTAGCTCCATTCTACCATTGACTTAGTATTAACCTGGAGTTAGCCACATATCCGTGGTGTTTCAAAAGGCTCTTTATTTCTGGGCCGACCAGACTCATTTTTTTTGTCCTTAAAATGTGCCCCTGGAGTACATGTGGTGTGTTCCCATGATGCTTTCCTCCACTTCTAGCAGTTTACCAGACACAGGTGGAAGGCAAAATGTATTTCTGAACAGCTGAATGAAGAAATGAGAAAGAACGTCTTCACTACAATCAGAGCTATTCCATCATTTTGTTCATCAATATGGTCACGGTTATGATCAAAAGCATCATGAGGGGCACCTGGGTGGATCAGTCGGTTGAGCGACCAGCTGCAGCTCAGGTCATGATCTCACAGTTGGTGGGTTCAAGCTCCATGTCAGGCTTTGTGCTGACAGCTCAGAGCCTAAAGCCTGCTTCGGATCCTGTGTCTCCCTTTCTATCGGCGCCTCTCCTACTAGCGCTATGTCTCTCTCTCTCTCTCTCTCTCAAAAATAAATAAACATTTAAAAAAATCCTTTAAAAATTTTTTCCTGTCCCTGGGGCACATGGGTGGCTCAGTCGGTTAAGCATCGGACTTCCGCTCAGGTCATGATCTCACAGCTCATGAGTTCGAGCACCACATTGGGCTCTGTGCTGACAGCTCAGAGCCTGGAGCCTGCTTTGACTTCTGTGTCTCCTTCTCTTTCTGCTCCTCCCCCACTTGTGCTCTGTCTCCTCTCTCAAAAGTAAATAAAAATGTAACAAAAAAAATTGTTTAAAAAAAGCATGAAAAAGCAGCAGCTCAATCTTATTTATTTATTTTTTCATATAAATAGCTCAGAGAGTACGTCTGCCACATTTCTGACTAATAAGATTTTGTATAATGTGAAGTTGTATGGGAACTGCTCTTACAAGAAAGCTTTCTCCTTTTTAAATACTATCAATCAAAAAGGATCTGGTAATGAATATAGAAAAAAACAATCCCAGGGGCGCCTGGGTGGCGCAGTCGGTTAAGCGTCTGACTTCAGCCAGGTCACGATCTCGCGGTCCGTGAGTTCGAGCCCCGTGTCGGGCTCTGGGCTGGTGGCTCAGAGCCTGGAGCCTGTTTCCGATTCTGTGTCTCCCTCTCTCTCTGCCCCTCGCCCGTTCATGCTCTGTCTCTCTCTGTCCCAAAAATAAATAAACGTTGAAAAAAAAAAAAAAAGAAAAAAACAATCCCATTGCAGTGGTGTTAACATTCTGGAAGGCAAAACGTGTCGTACAATTTTTGATGATTAACATTTGGAAGTTTTTAGCACTTTCTCAATAATGCCTGTAAAAAGGTATTATTGGAACATGTTTCCTCATATGAGGATTTGTCTCTTTTTTTTTTTCTCTTACATTTTCCTGTTGGTGCTATTTTTATTCCCAAAAGGGTCTTCCTTTTATTAGCGGAGAGGGAGTTACAACGTTCCCGTGGTTATTAACAAGTGAACAGAAATCATGCCAAGTTACTGGATTTTTCACTTTAAAATGTGTAATTGTATGCTATGTGAATCACTGTAATCAAAAATGTTAAAGAAACTTCTGGCCTCCAAATGCTGTGTGTAATAAACACTATCGCAATACGCCCTCTCCCCATTGGAAAATGATAATGATTCTGGCACTGGGGAGAATAGTAGAGTCATTTTAGATTGAAGAATAAATTTGGGTTCTCAAGTATTTAAAAATCTAAGAGAAGACGCTAGAGATTTTTGGTGAAATTTCCTCATGCCTTTTATTTTATTTTATTTTTAATTTTTTTTCAATATTTATTTTTGAGACAGAGACAGAGTGTGAACAGGGGAGGGGCAGAGAGAGAGGGAGACACAGAATCCAAAGCAGGCTCCAGGCTCTGAGCCATCAGCACAGAGCCCGACGCGGGGTTCTAACCCACCAACCGCGAGATCATGACCTGAGCCGCCCCTCCTCGTGCCCTTTAATAGGCAAGCTTGTGTATTGTCACACATACCAAAAGAAATGTGGCAAGGGCAAAGTCAATTCAGGTTAAGAGTTAAATTAAGGCAGAAGGTGAGATTTTGAAGATTTTGTATTTTAGTTTTGCTTTTGGCTTGATCCGAGCCTCCTGAGTCCCAAGGACAGAGTGAATGATTTGAGGAAATCATAATCATCAAGAAAAATAATTCTGGGTGCTGAATGTCCAGCTGTACTTACAGCAGACAGGTTAGGCAATGATAAGCTGTGATTTAAAGATAAAAGTGTGACTGTGACACAACTTTGGCATACAGTAAGCTAGCTCTAGGCTTTCCAAAGCATACTATACCTGACTCATCAATACATGGTTATACCACAGTTTACGTGGACACGGATGTTGGAATGAACAGAAAACATGAACCTGTTGCAAGAGACAGAAAAGGGAGGATGGCTGCTAACTGAACTTAGTTCCAAAGGGTAAATTCAAGGTGGGTAATGATCATACTAGAGGAAACACTTTCCTGTTCGACGACCACCATCTTCTCTGGCCTGAGGCACTGCAGTAATTTTCGGAGTAATCTCCCAGTGTCCACCCTTGCCCTTCTAAGGTCTTTTGCCAACATGGCAGAGTGATTCTTCTAAACTGAAAACAAATCATGTCAAGCCTCTGCTAAAATTCACCTCACTTCCCACGTATCTCAGAGTAAAAATAAATATAGGTAAATCAAAACAAAAAAGAAAAGACCTTTTCAATGGTCTGTGAGACAATTACCGTGGGCCGCTTTACTTCTTTGACCTAATCTACTTTTCCCCTCTTCATTTATTCCATCTAGGACACTGGTTTCTCTCTTGTTTCATAATAACTGGCATGCTTCGAGCTTTCTGTTCCCTTAACCTGAATGATTCTTACCCTAGATAATCTGCAGGATGCACTCTTTCACTTCTTTCAAGGCTCTGCACAAATATCACTTTCTTAATGAGGCTGACGTCAACTGCCTAATTTAAAATTACCAACCCTCCGGGAGCCTGGGTGACTCTGTTGGGTTAAGCATCTGACTCTTGATCTCAGCTCAGGTCATGATCTCGTGGTTTGTGAGATCGAGCCCCACATCGGGCTCTGCGCTGACAGGGCAGAGCCTGCTAGGGATTCTCTCTCCCTCTCTCTCTCAAATAAATAAGTATGTAAATAAATAAATAAATAAATAAATAAATAAATAAATAAAATTATCAACCCTCCTTTTTGTATATTCTCAATCTCCCTTACCTTCCAACATATTTTCATAAGTCTTGTCCTAGTCTAATATGCTCTATTATTTGCTTACTGTCTTTCTTGTATATCCTCTGCCTTCCTCCTAGAACATAGGCTCCAAAGGGCAGAGCGTTTTGTTTTACAAAACTAGAATCTGAGACTAGCACCTGAATTAAAGTAGGTGTTCAAAAGATATTTTTGTCATTGTTGAAAAAAAAGTAAATGTTCAAGGACAGGTAGGAGAAATGGTAATGTAGGTTTTGTGGCGAAAAGTATCAAGAATCTACTTGAATCAGTGAATGGAGAAGAGTTTTAATTGATATTTCAGGAAAATCATAATTGTTAACACCTTCTAACTTTATTTTTTTCAGGCCCCAGCTGTTGCAGTTTCTAATATTTGATCTTCCTGCTTCTTTCTACTGTGTGCTTCACTTACCTCTCCTTTCAAGTTTTATTTAAATTAAATTAAATTAAATTAAATTAAATTAAATTATTTAAAAAGTTTATCCATTTATTTATTTTGAGAGAGAGAGAGCATGAGCAAGGAAGGGGCAGGGGTGGGGGGGAGAGAGAGAGAGAGAGAGAATCCCAAGTAGGATCTTCACTGTCAGCAGTGTCCACTGTAGGGCTCAATCCCATGAACTGTGAGATCATGAGCTGAGCCAAAATCAAGAGTTGGATGTTTAACCTACTGAGCCACCCACATGCCCCTCACTTCAAACTTTTTTACTGCCTTAGCTCCTGTACCATTTTCTAATACATCAATCCAATGCAAATGACCAAATAATTTTGGCTTTACTACTTTTTACAAGGCATAATGCAAGAGAAAATGTCTTTATGTTCGTTTTATCTAGAATAACTTGATGAACAATACACGGTTGGAGACACATGATAAATCTAGAATGTGTGTTTCCTAATCCTGCCCTCATAGGGCCTGCCCGACCCCACCCAAGCATCTTCTCCACTTCTTTATATTTAGTATGCTTGATTTAGCCAAGATATCAACTAAAATATAGAAAAGTATTGGTAGAATAATATAATTATATTGTGTTGGTTCAGAAAGGATTTTTGGACATTAGCTAAAACAGTCTTCTCAGGTTAGGAAATTTAGGCAAAAATTATTACCCGGCTTCCTGGAGTCACATAAAAAATCACATGTAGTTAGCAATAATTGCAAAAGTCCTGACTTCCAGCTAAATGTGTGATTGTTCATGATCATGGTGTACCAAATATGCTATAAAATGTTAAACTGAGTTCATATACTGTAAGAAAAAAAGATGATTGAATTGGCAACAGAAGAACACTTTTTTTAATGTTTAATTATTTTGGGAGAGAAAGAGAGAGAGAGAGCATGCACATGAACAAGGAAGGAGCAGAGAGGGAGAAAGAGAATCCCAAACAGGTTCTGCACTGACAGAGCCCACATGGGGCTCCATCCCACAAACCATGAGATCATGACCTGAGCCAAAATCAAGAGTTGAATGCTTGACTGACTGAGCCACCTAGTTACCCACCGAAAAACGCTTAAAACAATTCAGTGTGGTAACATACAGTGTTACATTAATTTCAGGTGTACAATACGGTGATTCGTCAATTCTATACATTACTCAGTGCTTATCAGATAAATTTACTGTTAATCCCCTTCACCTATCACCCATCCCCCTACCCCCCTCCTGTCTGGTAACCATTTGTTCTCTGTAGTTAAGAGTCTTATGGTTTGTCTTTTTCTTCCCCCTTTGTTCGTTTGTTGTGTTTCTTAAATTCCACATGTGAGTAAAATCATATGGTATTTGCCTTTCTCTGACTGGCTTATCTCACTTAGCATTATACCTCTAGATCCATCCATGTTGTTGTAAATGGCAAGATTTCATTCTTTTTTTATGCTTGAATAATATTCCATTGTGTGTGTGTGTGTGTGTGTGTGTGTATGTGTATATATGTGTAT